CGTCTCCGTTCCCTGGAGTAACTTGGTTCTCTTTGGAGGCGCAATCTCTGCCTGGCCTGGGCTCGATCCTGAATCTGGATGGTAACACCTCTGCAGGAATAACCATTAAGGACAGTTTCAGAGACCGGGAGTTTGCCTGCGTGACTTCTCTGAGCCTTGGGTGTCAAGACAGCCGTACCTCACAGAATTGTAACTGCTTTGAAACACGGCTAAGGATGTGCTTAACAAATACAGATCTTTATTATTGAATCGCTGATTGACCAGTAGGCACGAAAGTGCCCTTTTCATGGAACGGGTTAAAAGTTCTTCCAATGTTGCTATTAGCCTTGCTCTCCCGCTCTTTTTACCCCCAACAGTCTCAAGGTCTGAAATGGAAGCAGAACTATAGTTCCCAGAATTCCTTGATAGGTCACACGAAACTACCATTCCCAGCGACCCTCGCGCGGGGCGGGGACTGGGCCAGACCCTCAGTGGATAGGCTCGGAGACTACAACTCCCGGGACGCCGCGTAGCTGGGCTGCTGGGCCAGCGGAAGCGGCTGGCGGAGAGCGGCAGGCTGTGACTGGGGTTGTCTGGGGTGCTGGTCAGGGTTAGGAGACGCAGGCATGCTGCGTCCCAAGGCTTTGACGCAGGTGCTAAGCCAAGCCAACACCGGAGGAGTCCAGAGCACCCTGTGAGTGCACAGCAAGGACCCGAGTGGCGAGCGCTGGAATGGGGCGGCGCGCGACTCCCTGCAGTAGGGGTAGGGAAGGAGCCCTCCGCTTGGCGGCTAGTGCTGCGAGCGGTCGTTTCGGGATCCCTACGTGAGGGCCTCTCTCGGAAAGGGAAGTCGATGAGTGCTTAGAGCATGCTCCAGGATATATTCAGCGCAGATCCTTGCTTCTAAAAACGCCAGTAGAGGGAATTGAGATAGGAACCCAGGTTTTTTATTCTTCCTTCCTTCCTTTTTTTTTTTTTTTTTTTTTAAAAAATCGATATCCTGCCCCATCTTCGCCAGGCTACTGAATAACGAGGGATCGTTGCTGGCCTACTCCGGTTATGGGGACACAGATGCCCGGGTCACCGCGGCCATCGCCAGTAACATCTGGGCCGCGTATGACCGGAACGGGAACCAAGCGTTTAATGAAGACAATCTCAAATTTATCCTCATGGACTGCATGGTATGAAGTAAAGTAGGCTGACCTCGAACTTGCCTCTGCAAGGTGTGCACCGCCCGCCGCACCTTGCCAAATAAGTAAAACACATAGATATTTAAAAAGAAAAAAAGTGAAGGTAGGGCACAGACAAATGTGATGGTCAGTCTCACTGAAAAGGTGACATTTGCTAAAAGATCTGCAGGAAGATTGGAGAGGGGAAGCAGATATGCCATGTATCTATCTGCTGGGAAAAGATTTCTAACAGTTCAGGACATGGTGGTTTATGCCTCTAGTTCCAGTACTTGAGAGACAGATGAAGGCAGGTAGATCTCTGCAAGTATTTCTGACAGAACAGCAATTGCAAAGGGCCTAGGACCAAGTAATGCTTGGTCAAAGGTCAGTAAGGATGGAGTGTCACAGAATGGGGAAAGTCGCAGGATTTAGGAATAAAGAGACCTGCCTGGTTCCCAGCACCCTGGACTGTAATGGTGTGCAGGACAAATCAGTTGGTCCTTGGGGTGCCTGAGAAAGCTCTTCATTGGGATTCAGGCACCCCTCCCAAACATTGCTGACTCCTACTGGATGCTGAATCTACCACTGGTGCCACAGGGCAGAAGCCCAGAGACAATCACAACAGCCCAGCCATAATAAATTAATTTTAAGGAACAGAGGGTGAAGTCAGTGGTAAAGCACTTTGGGGTCCGAGGATCCGTTCCCAGAAACACAAGTTTTGTTTTTGAGTCAGAGCCTAGTATCCACACTAAAATAAGTTTCATGAAACATCACTTCTCGAAACATCACTTCTCTTACTTCAGTGTGACGTCTGTTGTTTTTATTTTATTTTAAATGTTGATCAACCTTCTTAGTTGATCTTTGTTTAAAGCTATACCATGGGAAAAGAGGAAACATGTAAGTTGGGTTGTGGTTGTTTTGGTTGTTTTTTGCTGTTAGGTTTTTTTAGATTTATTTATTTTATTTTGTATGTATGAGAGTTTTGCCCAAATGTTATATATGTGCACCATATGTACATGCATGGTGCCCTCAAGGAGGCTCAAAGAAGGCATTGGGTCCCCTGAACTGGATGGTTATGAGCACAGTGTGGGTGTTGGGAATTGAATCCAAGTCTTCTGCAAGAGTGACAAACAAATTGGGTTATTGTTCCTGGTCCCTTACCTGTTGAGACAAGTCTTAGCATTAGAGAAGAAAACCCCAGTTTCTGGGAGACTTGGTTTCTCAGAATAACTTGAATTACCTGTCCGAGGCCAGAATCCAGTGTCAGACCCCCATGTCTGAAGAGCGGGGCAAAGCTTCCTAGATGAACTTCCTGCTCTGCCATGCTTGAGAAACAATATCTCTAGGATCAGAGGCGCCTGGGGAAGGCAGGAACTAAGGGTGCCAAGCAGAATGTCTCAATCTATCATCCCCACTAGGAGGGCCGTGTAGCCATTACTCGGGTGGCCAATCTTCTGCTATGTATGTATGCCAAGGAGACTGTGGGCTTCGGAATGCTCAAGGCCAAAGTGAGTACACACTCCTCCGTCACACCTTCCTGGGCCCCAACACAGCATCTGTTCACAATGTCCACGCCCTTCTATGCCCCTTCCTGGAGTTCTCAGATCTCCCCAGTCCCTGAGATGGTCTGAAGGGCAGTGGGAGTAGGCTTGGGTTGGTTGGTTACTCAGAATGGGGTAGGGAGCCAATCTGAGATCCCTCTAAGCATGAGCCATGTATGACCTGACTTGTGCTCTCTCCGTGCAGGCCCAGGCCCTGGTGCAGTACCTGGAGGATCCCCTCACCCAAGTAGCAGCATCATAGTAGTGTGATGGACGCTGGGGTCAAAGAAGGGGGGGGTGGTGGTTGGGGGAGCAGGACCACTTACAGGAAGGTGGTACTTTGGCTTTTTCCAAATAAATTTCAATTCTTGTCTTGTGTCTCAGCTGCTTTCTTGGCTGGAAGAACTTGGGCCGTGGGAATGAGTGGGGTGGTTTACTTAAGAGGATTCCCTCCCCCATCACCAAATCTCCCAGCAGTTGTTGGCAAGACTTCTCCAGTGCAGGGCCTCATCTAACTCCTGCCAACAGAGGTTCCCTGTGTAGCCTTGGCTGTCCTAGAACTCGCTTTGTAGACCAGGCTGCCTTGAACTCAGAGATCTGCCTTCTAAGTGCTGGGACTAAAGTTGTGTGCCACCATTCCCAGTATCAGAAAAGCAATGACTTTTCCTTAAACAATTTTAGCTCTGTAGACCAGGCTAGCCTCATCCTCAAAGATCTGCCTGCCTTTGCCTCTCAAGTTCTTGGTTAAAGGTATGGAAGCTGTGTGAGTAAGGAAGGGGGGAACCGTGGGTAAGTAGGAAGGGGCGAAGCTGTGCAGGTAAGTAGGAAGGGGGAACTATGGGTAAATAGGAAGGGGCGAGGCTGTGCAGGTAAGTAGGAAGGGGGGGAAACCATGGGTAAGTAGGAAGGGGGGAACTGTGGGTAAATAGGAAGGGGCGAGGCTGTGCGGGTAAGTAGGAAGGGGCGAGGCTGTGCGGGTAAGTAGGAAGGGGGGAACTGTGGGTAAATAGGAAGGGGCGAGGCTGTGCGGGTAAGTAGGAAGGGACCCATCTGGGCAGGTAGCATCCCAGCTCCACCTGAGTGAGAAACGCTGCCCATCCCTGGCCTGAGGCTGTTAAGGAAGGGCTGGAAGCTGCACGCTGGGGCAGCTCCTACAGCTCTGCACTGCAGAGATGCTGTGCCCAGCTTGCCTTTCTTGCCCTAATAGCCCTTTGCCTGGTGCCTCCAGTATGTGTCTTTACCAGAACCTGCGGTGGGAAAGCTGAGGCCCGGCAGCTTGTGCCCTACCACAAGTCTGTCTCTCTCAGCCTAGAGGCAGCTCCCCTTCTGCAAACCAACCTCACCCCCTGTTAACTCTAGAAGGTTCTCCTATTTGAGGGAGTGTGGGCTGAAAGCAGACACCTAACCTGTTTAACCTGTCTGACGTCATCTCGCTCCACCCACCTGTGCCCCAGGTCCCCAGTCGAGCTGGCTAGCTCTTCCTGTTCTCAACTTCCGTCCTCCCAGCTCCCACAGAGTAGCCCAACCTGCCAAAGCTGAGCTTCTGGGGCTCTTCCTGGCCTCAACTCAGCCCTCTGTCCCTCACCCCAGTGAGAGGGGAGCTAGGTGCAAGTTTCTTAAGAGCTGAGAGTTGAGGCCATTTAACCAATAAACAAACAGTGACCTCTGCACCTGCAAACACCTTCACTCCATGCTGAATCGAGATGACTGGAAAAGACGATGATTATAATTTTGTCTTCAAGGGTAAGTTGGGGATCTTGCAAAGGGAAGGCTCCAGAGAGGGTGGGAGAGAGGCTGTTTCCAGAGGAGACGGTGTCTTCTTGTGTTTTATCTCTTACTTGGACCCCCCCTCCCAGCTCAGCATTCCTTCCAGGAGAGAAAGCAGGGCTCAGGAGTACAGGCAGGAGTGGTTACAGGTGCAGATGTTCGGAAGCTATATAGTCTCTAATAAATGCTCAAGTTCCTGGGAATATCAGCCGGTGAAGCCCAAGAGATGGAAATCTGACTTCAGAAAGGACTCGCATTCGGGGCAGAGGGAGAAGAAAGCCAATTTAAGAGGAAGAAAGTCTGTTCGGGCCATGTGGTGATACATGTCTTTAATCCTAGCCTGGGGAGGCAGAGGCAGGCAGATCTCTGAGTTTGAGGCCAGCCTGGTCTACAGAGTGAGTTCCAGGACAGCCAGGGCTACACGGAGAAACCCCATCTTGAACAAAACTGAAAAAGAAAAAAAAAAAAGGAAGACAGTCACCATCTTTCTGAGCAGGTGCATAGAAGGGGAAAGGGAGACCATTGTTGAGCTAGGTAGTTGATAGAGGGGAAGGTGCTGGGACAATGCAATGAATGAGATGTCTGGTAGCTTCCATGGGACTCCTGGGCTGAGCCTGTGTGATGGTCTTTTGCACTTTCTTTGGACTCAGACACTAGGCACTGTATCCACCAGGCAATCTCTGAAAGTGACAAAGCATGCATCCTTCCTGCTCCCCGACCCAAAACAGGGTTTCTCTGTAGCTTTGGAGCCTGTCCTGGAACTCACTCTGTCGCCCAGGCTGCCCTCAAACTCACAGAGATCCTCCTGCTTCTCCCTCTGAGTGCTGGGAGTAAAGGGTGCGCTACTACTGCCTGGCTCCTTCCTACTTCTTTATTCTCAGCTTCAAGTGTTTGGTCCCTCTGTGGATCTAAGCCCACTTCCTGAAGGCCTGGTGGCCTGACGGCTCTCTCCTTCCCTTTGCGCCACACCCTGCAGCCTCTCCCAACCTCAGCCCCACCCTGGCCGTGCTGGGGAGCCTGTACTCCTGGCATTTTCCCAAGGAAACTGGTAGGACTGTGGCTTGGATGTGGTATAGTGACTCCTAACTATTGAACTCCCAGTGCCAAACTATCTTCACATGCCTGGTGCGGTCCATCATTTTGAGTGATCCCATGGCCTCTCTGGTACTTACCAGTTGGCACAGACGGGGTTCCAGTGCCACCATGGAGAAGTGTGGGGGAAACTATGCTCACTATGGCCACCATGTGAAGATGAACGGGAGGACTCAGGATTGGGCAGAGGTTCCATAGAGAACAGGGAGCTGTCCAGGAGAGGCATGACATCCCATGTCCATGAGGGCTTACCGCACTCATGCATGCACACTGAACTGTACAGTGTGATAGGCCTACTGGGGGGGGCTTCCTTGTCTATAAAAATGGGAATAGTGGGGACATTCACCTCTGGGTGAGGCTACATAAAGTCCTGGATGGTGGCTGACATGAAGAAAGCACTCTAGAAGTGTCAGCCACTGGTAAGCCTGGAGGCAGAGGCAGGTAGATCTCTGTGAGTTCAAAGCCAGTCCAGTCTACAAAAGCTAGTTCCAGAAGAGGCTCCAAAGCTACAGAGAAACCCTGTCTCGAAAAGAAAAAAACAAAACAAAACAAAAAACTGTCAGCATCTGGCACTTCCATCTTACAGAGGAGGAAAGTAAGCAGCTTGCCGAGAAGTCACACAGGGGCTGGAGAGGTGGTTCAACGGGGCAGAGCCCTGATGTTCTTGCAGAGGACCCAGGTTCAATGCCCAGCACTCACATGGTAGTTTATAGGAGATCTGACATCTGACCAAGCACCCATATGTACAAGCAAAACATACGTACAAGTAAAATGCTCATACATATAAAATGAATACATCTTAAAATGAAACAATTTAAAAAGGCCACAAAGTCTGACTCTAAAACCCTTGCCCTGGGTCTGAAGACAGGGCTGGGGATGGATGAATGGAGACCCTTCTCCTAGCAAAGGAGAGGCAGTAACACACACGCACACACAGGTGCACTTCTACACCTTCACAGGAGAGGCAGTAACATACACACAAACACAGGTGCACTTCTACACCTTCACAAAAGAGGCAGTAACACACACGTGTACACACACACAGGTGCACTCCTACACCTTCACAGGAGAGGCAGTGACACACAGGCACACACAGGTGCACTCCTATACCTTTACAGGAGAGGCAGTGACACACAGGCACACACAGGTGTACTCCTACACCTTTACAGGAGAGGCAGTGACACATGCACACACACACATACACACACAGGTGCACTCCCACACCTTCACAGGCGAGGCAGTGACACATGCACACACAGGTGCACTTCTACACCTTCCCTGTCACCCACAGAAGTGTCACTTGTCAACCTTTTGCTTCTTCCACATAAGCACATAACACACCCAAGCCCCTCTTCCTCGTCCTTCCACCTCACATACAGACATCAGCAACTTTCCCGTGCCCCTATCAATCACATGTCCCCTGTGAGCAGCCCAGAGCTGTTACTGTCATTCTGTTACCAACATCACAGGCAGACTCTGTTGCCTTAGCAGCCGCTGCCTTGAATACTTCTGGCCCGTCTGTGTCCATCTGTCCATCCCCATCCCCCCAACCCCGAAGATGCCCTATGCAGTGTGGCCAACCACAGCCTCTGCCATCTTGCTTTTCTGTACTCCTTTCTTTCCTGTTGAACAGATTCTCCAGCTCAGGTAGGCTCAGAGCTGCTCTGCCCTGGCTCAGCTCTCCTCTCTCCACTTCCTCAGTGGTGCTGATCGGCGAGTCAGGCGTGGGCAAGACCAATCTGCTGTCCCGGTTCACCCGCAATGAGTTCAGCCACGACAGCCGCACCACCATCGGGGTTGAGTTCTCCACCCGGACTGTAATGCTGGGCACCGCAGCTGTCAAGGCACAGATCTGGGACACAGCTGGCCTGGAGCGATACCGAGCCATCACCTCTGCGTGAGCCCAGGCCTGGGGGGTTTGTGAGGATCCTGGGAAACCAGGACTCTTCTATGGACTAGAGATGTGGGAGGATGGGAGGCAGGAGAGGCTGTTGTGTGCTCCCTGTGATGGGAATCATGAAGACACAAGTTCTGTGTTTGACAACAGGCACAGATAGGATGTAATGACTTCTAATGCAAGTCATGGCCCTACTTCCTAAGCCTCTCCTGTGCCCAGGAAGACACAAAGCCCTTTGTACCCAGCATTTTAAAGTATTACTGGAAGAAGTGAGGTACCTTGTTTAAATAGGTGCATGAACTAAGAGCGCACCCTGACTTCGGCTCAGTGCTCTGCTTGGCGGCAATGTGTCCACTCACAAATGACAGGGCTAGCTGGACTTCGGCATAAGTTTTAGAGATCAGGCTAGCCTGAGCTCACATGTAGACCGGGAACTCACTATGTAATCCTTGCTGGTCTGGAACTCATTCTGTAGACTAGGCTGGTCTGGAACTCACAGAAATCTGCCTGCCTCTGTCTCCTAAATGCTGGAATTAAAGGTGTGCCCCACCATTCCTGGTCACTATTTTTTAAAATTAGATTAGTTGATTGATTGATTGATTGATTGATGGGTGGGTGGATG